TATATATATATATATATAAGAAGTCAAAAGTTTTTTTTCAAGATTTTAAAAGTAAACATTAGTTAGGTATTTTGTAGCTTCTGGTGGGGTCGGACAGTGGCTCCCTGAGACTGTACGACGTCAGTAATAACAAGTCAACCGTTGACTTCGATGACTTTGAGCAGTTGACCTCGGTCCATGTCAACTCGAGCGATGACCGGTGTTTGACAAGTGGCTACTCAAAGAAAGTTGCTATATACGACATCACTACCGGGAAACGCTTACAGTTATTTACAGAAATGCATAGTGAACCGATAAATGTAGCTAAATTTTCGAACCATAGCCCTAATTTATTCGTGACGTCATCGTTTGACCGTGATGTGAAAATGTGGGATTCGAGGCAGAAGCCATTGAAGCCTTGCTATACGGTTTCGAGCTCGAGAGGAATTGTGATGGTTTTATTTTCACACGATGATCTTTATTTATTGGTTTCGGGTGTGGATAACGAGGTTATTATTGTTTTAAGACATCATTAGTTCTTACGTATTTATTTTAAAAAGAAAAAAAATAATAATTATCGGACTTTTGTGATGCAGGTGAAGCAGCTTTTAGCTGTGGACGGGAAAATTCAGACGGATTTTGGGATAGTTTCGAGCGGAAGCGGTCATAATTACACGCGTTCTTATTACATGAATGGGAGAGATTATATTATTAGTGGGAGTTGTGAAGAACCGATAATTCGTGTTTGTTGTGCTCAAACGGGAAGGCGGCTTCGAGACATTTCTTTGGAGGTTTAAAAAATTAAAATTAAAAAAAAAAATAGTTCGATTATTAGTGCTTACTTCTCTGAAACTAATTGTCGTTGTTCTCAGGGTAGTGGAAGGGGGAGCTCGATTTTTGTGCAGTCGTTAAGAAGCGACCCTTTTAGAGTAAGTTCTTTTTCAACAAATAAGATTATCAAATTACCGAAAAACCATATTCATATTAAACGATACATACAATCTTTGTGTGGGAGCAGCATTTCCATATGGCTGTGTTGGTAGCTTATGCTCGACCGATGTCCAAATACGAAATTATAAAGGTGTATTTTTTATCTTATCAATCATCGGTTATTTATTTATTTATTTATTTATTTTTTTAATTATTAATAAGTCTTGATTGATATTGTTGATGCAGGTTAACTTACTTTCATCAAGCCAATCTGATGAAGAGTATCAAGCAGGGTTCAATATTTGCAATTCATATGGCAAAGGTGGCTGATATTATAATGTACAATAATAAATTTCTATTGATGTAAATCGAGTTTTTTTTTACTGTATAAAACAAGAAACGAAATATATCGAATCTTCGTTATTTTTTTTAAATGTACTAGTGTACTGAAATATGAAGTTAGGACCATATGAATAAATTAAGGATGTTATTGATACATATTTCCTAACATGGGGAATCATCACCTGCCAATGCTAATCAAGGCAGTCTTTTTGTTGGCTAATTAACAACAATCCTCTATACATAATACATATTCATACCTCGTCGAAAAAACAAGACTACTTGTTTTTTTTTTTTTTTTTGTGTGGCTAATCGTTCTTTGCGTAAAATAAAGCGCAGAGCGATCAATCAACGGACGATTCATGAAATACCGAAAGTAGCCTTGGCTTTACCACGGAGAGTGGAGAAGCTAATTTCCCTTGCGATAAGATAGACGATGAAGCAAACGTATGCAGCTGCAAAAGTCGAAACTGCAGCTGTGAAAAAAGCACCGCTCCCTTCTGAAGAGAAGAAATCAACCAATAGGTATCCGTTCATTACCATCACCAGTGCTGCTATAAGCCATGATACAGTCTGCATAACAGAAAGCACGCGAATTATTTATTTGGATTTCTTATTTTAATATCAGCGGAAATGCATACAGATACGCCACATTTAGACACGTATAGCAATTTTTCAATCTTTCACATCAAAACACGAGCGGGAACATCTCATAGATACGGTGCAGATACGATGCCTCGCTATTTTAAGAAGAAAATCAGTTTAATGATTTGCTCTTTTCCACTAAATCACAGATCTGGCATAAGTTAATTCATGACGGAAAAAAAATGGAATCTTTAAATGCAGCTCATTCAAACAAATCCACCCCAAGAGATTAAACATAGTCAAGTTCAAATCTTTCTTATCGTTCAAAAAAAACGAAAAATTCTCAAAATCCCATTAAGCATATAAAATCTTTAGAAGAATAAGATAAGAACATAAGTTTCAAATCGAAGAAGATAAAAATTACCTTAAGAAAAGAGCCGATCTTGAAAAACCCCATAACTTCCTCCTTGGAAACAAGCCAAAGCAGAGGAATAACAGCAAACGGAATCTGAATCGACTGCAGCACATTAAGCCACTCATTCAGAACATCCAACGAATCCTCACTCGTATCGAAAACAAGAGCGACAATAAGCGTCGGCACAATCGCAAAGCTCCTAGTAATCAAAGCCCTAAGCCACTTCTTCAACCGTAAATTCAAGAACCCTCCCATGATAAACTGGCCCGCGTAGGTCCCGGTTATAGTACTGCTCTGCCCTGCCGCCAGCACACCGATAGCCCATATGTACAAGATCGGGAAAAACCCACCGCCGTACTTTTCTTCAAGGTACTGCCCTGCATTTGCAAGGCCGAGGCTGTTTGCTTGTTCGGTACCGTAAAACCCCTTTGCGAAAACAGTTGTGACGAATAGGTTTATCAAGAAAGAGATGAATAGGGCAGCTCCCGATTCGATCGAGTAGTACTTGAGCGCTTCTTTAACTCTCCCAATTTTGCGATTGTCGACTTCTCTTGATTGTACGAGTGCGGAGTGGAGGAATACGTTGTGTGGCATTATGATGCACCCCACTACACCTACTGCTTGCTTTATCGTGTTCGAGCTGAGCTTCGGAACAAAAATACCTGTAATAACATTTAGATGATGTCAGAGTTGCACAAGAAAGATGTGTATATTGGGTTTTTTTCTTTTTTTTTTTTTCTCACCGACTGAAAGTTCGCGGAAATTGGGCTTCGTTTCGCCGAACATCCATGCGAAGGAGAGCGCCATGGTTGCTATGAGGACAGCAAAAAGTGCTTCTAGTTTCCTCACACCATAGTTTTCAAGAAACAGAAAGATGAAGCTGCATCAAGAAATGAAATCACCGTAAATCATAAAAATCGAAGGTCAAATACACGTTTCGAACTACGTTTCCAAATGTTCTTCGACATGTTCGAATTAATTATATGAACTATCAATTAATACTTGTGGATAAACTACATTAAAATAGCTTAAACCCCAACCACTCTCACTAACATAGTTTAAAAAAAAAAAAAGGAAACTTTTTAAATTGGGGAAAATTTTAATAATTCGAAATATTTACCAGTCAAGAGCGGTGATGATTACTCCGGCCCAAAGAGGCAGAGCGCCGCCGCTCAAAATCTTAATGGCAATAGCGCTGCCGATAACCTCCTGAATATCAGCCCCAATCAGTGCCAGCTCAGCCATAACCCAAAGCAGCAGCCTCGCCCAATTAGGATACTCCTCCCGGCACAATTCCGCCAGGTGCCGCCCCGTCGCCACCCCTAGCCGGGCGGAAAGAAGCTGAACAATAAGACCCATGGCGGTGGCCCATAGAAGCAGCCACAGGAGAGAGTAGCCGGCGATAGCCCCCGCCTGAAGATCCCCCTCCAGGTTACCCGGATCCAGAAACGCTATGCTCATAAGGAACCCGGGCCCGGTGAATAGCCAGAGCTTCCTCCACGAGAAAGGCGGCGCCTTGACGGAGTACTCGTCGGCGTCGGAGCCCTCGTCGACGCCGATGATCTGGACTTTCTCGGTTGAATCGTAGGCTCGCTCTTCTTCGTACTCATCGCTCGAATCGAGTAAGCGGTGGTGGTGCTCCGGCATTTGCATATTATTTATTTGTGAATTGATTTTTATCGATTGATTGAAAATCAATTGGTGAAAAGAGAAAAAAAAATCAGTGAAGAAGAAGAAAATGTGAGAGTGAGGTATTTGGGAAAGTGGCTGCTTTATCGTTAATGGGGTGGGGGCGGCAGTTCTGTACACATGTACCCGTCATCATTTTCTTTTTTTTATTTTCTTTTAATATTATTTTATAAAAAAAAATATGAAAATCAGTTTATTGCCACGTAGATAAAAGAGGGATGGACTGAGTTTATTATTGCGTGATGAATTGAGCTGTCTATATTCAATATTTTCCTTCAAGGGGCCAACATTTTTTATATTTAACCGAAAGGACAAATAACAATCGTTTATACTCTCATATTATCATCTTCCAATTGTATTGGCTATGTTTCGTGCTCTTTTATAACCATTTTTTTTCTTCAATTCAGATAAAATATGCTCTTTTATTTAATACAGCAGAATTTCGATACATTAATAATTTTTGTTTCTTTTTTTTTCCAGTTTCTTATATCTTTTATTCGAGGGTCAAATCTTTTTTTTTTCCCTCCGCTTCATTTAGCACATTAATTATTTGATTTAACATTTCACGTGGTAAGAATTTTGATGAATAATGATATGCTATAAGTTACGACCAG